TGGAGCTACAAAAATGTACTATGTGAAAAAAGAAACGAAAAATATACAATAAAAATATAGAAAGATTAGTTACCTTAAAATAGAACAGAAAAAGACATCATTAGAACATAGATAAAAGCACAAGGAAAAAGAGCATCTGTAAATAAATTAATGATGGAACAAGAAATATACTCAAAAAAGTATCTGTTCTTATCAGCTTAATAGGAAATTGCTACTCTTGATCAAATTACGTTAATTGGTTCGTTGGAAAGTAAATTGGTCTACTAATTGGATTACGGAATTGGATTTTGGATTTGTATTTACATCGCTGGATTGGATCGGAACTGGAATTGGAATTGGACGACCCTTTGATATCATCGTACTTGGCTTTGTTTACGAAGCGATACAGAATTTCAGCTTTCGACCGGTATTCCCGTACATCGTTCGGTTCGGCCCGATTTATCGTGTTTGACCACGTTATTCCTTTACTACAATTGGCCTCACTATCGCTACGAACACTGTGTGCGAATTTCTGCTCATATATATCGCTAGAAAACCGATATTTCGAAGAAGACAAACTTTCACGAGCAAGTGGCTCGAGATTCCGTCACGACCCCATTACGCGTTTGAAGGATCGTTCTCTCAAATATCGCATCGAATTTGCATTAGCACCGGCAATATAGGACTACAAACAGAATTTTGCACGAATTCGACAACAAATTCACAAGAAATCTCAGCGAGTTTTAAAACGACCGTTGGCTGTTTTTCGGTTGCCTGGCTACGATTTCAAATTCGCGTTCACTTTTCTCTACAACTCGTTATATTCGAACTTTTTATTTATTGCTGGTATATATTACTGATATACACGAGTATACTCAGTCTCTTCCAAATTGCTCCAATATTTGGCAAGTTTTTCTATCCCAAGTTCAAAAAGCGACCGTTGGCTGTTTTTCGGTTGCTACGTAACGAATTTAAATCATTACTACATCGAATTGCCTGCTCAATTGACCGAGCAATTATCGCGTGACAATCACAGATCTAATAATACACTAGATAGTGCATCGGCTTACATTTCATAAGTAGTGGTTGAAGCCGGGCAAATTTACTTCCGGAGCCCCAAAGTAGTGAGAATCAATATGGAGTTGTATTAGAAAATATCTGGTCAAAGCTGATATCTTGCAATTACTTGCAAGTCACGACGGTTACATAAACTGGTTTACTCTATTAATGAAAAAAATCAATGTGACCATAGTTTTTCAAGAAAAAGATAGCAGAATACGCCAATACATCGCCGTAAAATTGATTTCAAGTGAAGCTCGATTTGAAAGCATCAGCAGCGACGAAGGCTCAAGATACTGGAATTTGCACATCTAAATATCGTATCACAGCACAATCTGCCACAAAATGTTCAATCGAACGTCGTAGAATTATCTTCCGATATTTATTGTTAAGTAAAACGAGTTGGAGATAACAGTTTGAAAGATTTTTCACGATTTATATAAAGTATATTGTTCACTGTACATAATTAAATATTGCACTGGATTATTGTACCAGAAATGCATTTTTCTGGTGTTTCTGGTCGGCAAACGAATATAGCTATGTCAAGATGTGAGTAGTTAATACTTTCAGAAATTATTTACAGAAAGAATGTGAAGAGTCTACCTCGAAGAGTCTATGTCTTGCTTGTCTATGTCTTGTCTATGTCTTGCTTGTCTTGCTTGTCTATGTCATAGAGTCTGTCTTGCTTCTTCGGAATTTGTTTTATATTATGAGTCTACCTCTGTTACACCAAATTTTTTGTGAAGTAGAAAATAGCAGGTCACTTGTGAAACTGTTGATACCACAGGTTGATACAATACACTCTGTCCAACATGGGGAAAATATTTACTTGTTAAAGCAAGAAGAGTCACCAGACTTGTAGTATTGACTGTGTTTTACACATATATATAAACAATATATTGTCATAGTCTAAACCAGTGGGTTATATGGCCACTGCCCACAGTGCTTAATGTACTGTTATGGTGATGTTATGCTACTGTTTTCAACATTTTTATTGTCTTTTTTACCATTCAGGCATGTATATGCATATGAAAGTTTCTACACATTGTTGTTATTGAAAATATCAAACCTAAATTATTTATTCTGAGCAAAATATTTAATTTGTGCTTGTAACATGTGTCAATTTCTGACTGATTTTTGTAATATGCCTGTTCTGTTACAATACATCCATAGATCGAGTATGATATCGTTGTATTTGCCACACGAACTAAGCCACACTATCGAAGATTGTCCAGTGATACGATATTTAGATGTGAAATTCTAGTACTTAAGCCTTCGTCGCTGCTGATGCTTTCAAGTCGAGCTACACTTGAAATCAATTTTACGGCGATGTATTGGCGTATTGTGCAATTTTTTTCTTACAAACTATAGTCACAATGATTTATTTCATAAATAGTGCAAAAAAGTTGATGCAACCTCCGCGATTTGCTAATAATTGCGAGATATTAACTTGGACCACATATTTTCTAATACAACGCCATATTGGTTCTCAATACGTTGGGGCTCCGAAGTAATTTGCCCGGCTTCAACTTGTATGTCAGTTGAACCATCTAGTGTATTATTAGATCTGTGGTGACAATAATACGGTCACATAATACGGAACTTTTCGCCGCTTGTTCATCTGTCAACCGCAATTTTCACCGGACTCTCTCTGATAGTTGTTGCTGCTACTATCTTACGGCGATTGTAACGAGGGATAAACATTCAAACCGCCTTTAACGATTTCGAGATACATAGTTTTACACGTACGCGTTTATATATTCCCGACCGATCATTTGTTTGTTTACATTTGCATCGACCATCCTCGCCGTTAATTTCTCGCCGTACAGTGGACTAATTCGCTCACTTGTAGCACATAATTGTTCCTTTACGTGTGCTCCACAGTGCCTATCGACCATTCGTCCCGACATCGGTGATAACCGATAATATTCAGCGATTATTAATACTAGACTTTCCCGATCATATTTTTGTTCGGCGGGTCAAGCGCATCGCGTGTCAATTGTACGCTGCTCACTCGCTAGTATTTCGAACGCTTTATACACCGTCCTACCGCCTGGCAGCTTTTCTCTGTGGCCCACGTGTGATCACTATGGTGGCCTATGAGTGCCATAGTAATTTCTAGTGTTTCCACTCCATTATTGGTATTATTTCATTTCTATTATTTTACAATTATAGTTTTGTTTCAGTTTTGTTTTGTTTAATTATTTTTTAACAGTTCAATTATAGTTTTGTTTCAGTTTTGTTTTGTTTAATTATTTTTTAACAGTTCAATTATAGTTTTGTTTCAGTTTTGTTTTGTTTAATTATTTTTTTAACAGTTCAATTATAGTTTTGTTTCAGTTTTGTTTTGTTTAATTATTTTTTTAACAGTTCAATTATAGTTTTGTTTCAGTTTTGTTTTGTTTAAGTTTGGCTTTTTCTCCAAATCAGTTCAGTTTTCCAAAAATAAACTGAATCAATCATATGCCATGGCCTATGAGTGCCATAGCCTACAATTCCCTGTAATTCTTACCTCATAAACCCTATATTTCCATATTACATGAAGTGGGCTCTATACTTTATAAATATGGCGGAACGCATAAGGAACTCTGATTGGCACATGATTGGCCATATTCGCACGTGGGATATATTTTTGAATTTTGATTATTTATATTTATTTACACTTTGAAATTGCTACCATTCCGAAGGCTGTTTCTCTAAACTATGTCAAAACGAAATTTCAAAGAGGATTTTGCAAAGTTTAAGGAGCGAATCTCAAAAAGAGAAGAAAAGAAGAAAAAGTTCCAAGTCGGACATGTCGAAGGAAGGTATCAAAATACGCAAGGATTGGGCCGTTAGCAAGTGTTCCTTTTGGTGGAGAACCAACAATCGAAAATATTAAAGAGGCATGCAAGCGCTATTTCAACGTGGAAGACGGGTTGTGCTGTGATGTACTAGCTGGGGAGAGGGCCATCTTGGACTGAAACGAGTCAGATAAATAACTGGAAGGTAATCCATGTTCGTTTTATTGAGGGAAGTGATGAGAGCCATTTGTGTCATGAAAAGCCGATAGAAATCAGTTTCAATCAACGGTGGAAATCTCATGAGACCCCAACGAAAAAGCCTCCATCAATATCCACGAAAGTTGCAGCCTTTGTTCCTCTGAGTGCTATGCTTAAACTTGGTAAAATAATTCAACCAACAGAGGAAATAGTTACACTATATATTGAAGAATTCAAAATATGTGATAAAACATGGGCTCAGCCGTTTGAAGTTACACTCTCTATTTCCAAACAGAAATTTGCAAGTGGAGGTTGCAGAGATGCATACATTGCCACCCCCATATCAAGGTTGCAGCCAGGAAAATATGTGCTAAAAAAAGTTCGAGAAGAAAAAGTTGGGGAAATTAAGCAGCTGTTTAAATCAATTGAGGAGCACACAAGAAAAGCAGTGCAAATGAATGCACTAGTTAGGAACTTTGCCAAAACATTAGCAAGTGAGGCTCCCGTTGAGTATGGTCATGTTCTAAATTACACAAATGTTTACTTTGGAAGGCTTTATAGTGAGTTTGTAACATTGGAAAATTATATAGAGGGTGAATTTCAAAAGTATGTGAACAACACTGGTGAAGTTTGTGGGAGTTGTGAGGTAACACTCAAGGCAGAATCATTCTGTCACTATAGCTATGAGAAGTCTGGACAATAGCTAATGGTTTTGGACATCCAGGGAGTAGATCATAGTTTGTTTGATCCAGAGGTTGCAAGTTCAACTCTTATTGATGAGATTGACAGGACAATTTTCTTTTGCTGTGGCAACCTTTCGACAGATGCCATTGATAGATTTAAGGTAGAGCATGTTTGCAACAAATTTTGCCTTATGCTTAAGCTCAAAGAAATGTAGATAATATAGTGAAGTTTTGACTGACATTTTAAATCAAGTTTGATTGACAGTAATAATGTTTTTGTTCAAATTACTTGATTAAGTTCAGTTTTCAAAATACGATTTTAATAAAGCGAGTTTCTATTGTGTCTTAAAAAATATTCACATCAACATGACTCTTTAAGTATAAATAAGCTTCCTTAGCATCACTGGGATTAATTTCATGTATTTGGGGCAAATGCTTCTTACACTCTTCACGAACAGCTGGTCTTATATAATCATCATTGTCTTCCAAAACATTTGATAACTCAGAAACCTCAAGCAGTTGTTCTTCTGTAATATCAATTCCACATTGTTCACCACCATACTTCTCTGGAAAATGGAATATGTGTTCTGGAATTCCTGCTGGCAGTTCTTTTCCTCTCTGTTTACGTGTTCTGTGGTTATTCCAAACACACTCACGAAAAATATCTAGTTCCTTTTGAATTATTGGGATGTATACATAAGCCAGTAAGTCTCTTTAAGAAACAAGTAGAGTGTTTGCATGTTGTCAAATATATTGTATCAGTACATACAAAGATATAATACGTTTCTCCCGATTTTACCACTTAAATTTACAATTAATTTCTACAATTTACACAAAAGAACTAACATCAGGCATGACTTGAAATAAAATGCATGCAATTATCATAAGTACCTGTCATTTTGATCACTGGAATCATAATCTCCACTTTCAACCAAGCATTTAAGTTGTTCCTTAAAAAACCTTTCCATTCTCTCAAGAAGATCCCTCCACCACCTTTCAATCTTGTTTTGAGTGGAAGGTCCATAAATTATAGCATCTAAAGCGTTATACAAATCACCTCGTAGGAAGCAATGAATTGTTGCCATGACATCAGTTTCTGTCCCTCTGTCTAACCTTAATGTTTGTGGCAAAACTGGACAAAAAAGATAATACAGACTTTAAAATTTTGATTGTATTCTCACTATTTTCATCCAGAAAACATATGGAACATAAAAAAAGTGAACAATATAAAATTGAAATTCAAAATATCTTACCCCTAGCCTTAAACAGATATTCAAAATAGAATCGTCCAATAACACTGTGCAACACTCAAAAAAGTACAGAAAATCTGTGGTCATTTTTATATGCACAATAATATGAGAAATTCATGTCTGGCCTTCGTTTTGTTGAATTAGGCATAGATTTTTCAAAATTCGCCATTACTGAAATTCACGACTGTGGATTTCAAAATTCACAATTAATATTTTAATCTATGCCTAAACAGAGTTTTGGATTCACCGTATGGGATGCACATATATTTATGATATTGCTCAAAATAAATGTGGGATAGTATAGTAAAGTAGGGAGGGAGGGTTGTTAGACAAAAGGGACAGTAGGGAGTGGAGGGTGGGTAGACAAAGCATGACAACACATCAGCCATATTTGTTTTCACTTGCGATGTATATGTTGTTTGGTTTTAATCTGTTTTATTTAATGATATTATGGCTCTTTTCATATGCTTTAGTACGTTTATTTCAGTAATGGCGTCAAAAATGGGATACTGACGACTTTGCAGTCCATAAAGTCTATTAAAATGCTTTTATTTTATTAAATTTTTGATTTTTAAACACGTAGGTAGTTTAATTAAAAAAATTTAGTCTGTGAAAATATATAATAAATGATGTTCTGCACTTTTCATTTTTTTAAATTCAATATAAGTCAGAAAAATGTAAAATATTAATTGTCAAGGTTTTTTTTAATTTTTTATAGCTCAGAACCTTATTTGATAATTGTCTTTATTCTTTAGATTTTGGCTTTGACGATGACTTCAAGACAGTGCAAAATGATCCAAGCAAATTCTGCTACATATGTGGCGAATTAACATTTGCTAAAGAAAGGCGCAGCATTACCAGCAATATCAAGAAATTGTACAAAGTACTTTCATTGTGATATGGGAGACCAAGACAAGCCATGGGCTCCTCATGCCTGTTGCCTTACATGTGTGAAAACATTGAGCATGGTATGCAAAAAGATGTTCACATGAAGTTTGGTGTGCCAATGATTTGGCGAGAGCAGAAAGATCATTCTAATGATTGCTATTTTTGTCAGCAAGATTATATGGGCTGTACAACAGCGAAAAAAAAGAAACACATTGTTTACCCAAATTTGCAATCAGCAATACGCCCAGTTGAGCACTCAAAAGAATTACCTGTACCAAAACCCCCTGATCAGGAAATGTGGAGTTCAAGCAGTGGGGATGAACATTACAGTGATGAATCAGTAGAATTTTCTAATTCAGAAAGCAATAATAAACCAATACTATTTTCTCAAGACGCTCTAAATGACTTATGCAGAGATCTTTATTTAACCAAAGACAAAAGTGAACTTCTTGCATCAAGGCTTAAAGAACGAAATCTTCTTAGAAAAGGTGTGAAAATAACATTATACAGAAAACGTGCACAAAACTTGCATTTTTTGTTCACTTTCAAAGATGATTTATGTTTCTGCAATGACATTATTGAACTTTTTGAACAACTGGAAATACCATATGATAACACCAACTGGCGACTTTTCTTAGATGCATCCAAGGAAAGTATAAAAGCTGTTTTGCTTCACAATGGGAACACCCTGCCACCTGTTCCTATAGCTTACAGCACAACCATGAAAGAATCATATGAAAATTTAAAACTATTTTAACAAGCATAAAGTATGAAGTCCATAAATGGCATGTTTGTGCAGATTTCAAGGTTATAGCCATGCTCACTGGCCTTCAGCCAGGCTATACTAAATTTTGTTGCTTCTTGTGCTTGTGGGACTCTAGAGCAAGAGCTGAACACTATGTACGCAAACACTGGCCCGCTAGAGATGAAATTGAGCAGGGAAAACATAACATCAAACACAAACCACTTCTGCAAAGTGATAGAATCCATTTACCACCTTTGCATATTAAGCTCGGTTTGTTCAAGCAGTTTGTGAAAGCACTAGACAAGGATTCCTTGGCATTTGCATATCTTGCAGAAAAGTTTCCTTCATTAAGTCAAGCTAAAATAAACGAAGGTATCTTCGTAGGTCCCCAAATTCGAAAAATTGTTCTTGATGAAATTTTGACACACATCTCACGAGAAAAGAAAAATGTGCCTTTGAGTCATTCAAGAAAGTTTGTGATAACTTCCTGGGAAAACATCGTTCAGAAGACTATGTGCAAGTTGTGAATGATCTACTGCGTCATTTTCATGATATGGGATGTAACATGTCTCTAAAAGTTCATGTGCTCCACTCTCATTTGGATTTTTGCTGAGAATCTTGGCCATGTGAGTGATGAACATGGCGAAAGGTTCCATCAAGATATTTCATTAATAGAAAAACGTTTTAAAGGAAAATGGAACACTGGTATGTTGGCAGACTACTGCTGGAATTTAAAAGGATGATGACACTCTACACAAGAGAGTTAAGAGGACAAATGTTGTTTAAACTGGTGATTTCGTTGTTTTATATATATATGTGTTTTTTTAATATATAATATTACAGTACATGAAAATGGCACCTAATCCAGAGAAATAAATGTCAGATTTGGAATCAGCATACTTTTCTTACACCGAAACAGGTCTTATATGTCTTGTACTTTTTTTTCACTTCAATTTTGTTGCACAGTGTAACCAATGGGTTGTTGTTAGTTGTCCACACTTTCAGAAAGTTAACCCTGCCACTGTATACATCAAGTCCACCATAGATGCACAAAGGAAACATAGATTTCTGATAGCCACAAAGCTTATCATGCCCATCTAAGGACATTGTAGAGTTTGATCCTTCTTATAATTTAATAAAATGAAGGCTCAAGTTAGCAGTTTTCAGAAGTGGCATTGCTAAAGGGAGATACATGCCTCAATAAAATTTTGTTGTCCACCCTCAAGTGCTCCCCCCCCCCTCCTTTAAACTTTGAAAATCAAATTTGCATGGTGATTTTTTACTACAAACTTGTTTTCCACCCACATAGTGCAAATTGTTGTGCACAGAAATTTTTTTTAGCTTGTTCCTTACACCACTCATCAAATGGTAGAAACAAAATACTGGTTTTTAGAATAACGCTTAAGATGATGTAAATTTTCATCACAAAAAAGCCGCATAGTTTTAAAGAAATACTAGGAATATCCTGAAACAAAGCAATTAATATTTTACTTATCGCAACACAAATAAAATAAGATGGCTGACTTACTCGACTAACAAACGCGTTTGTCCTACGTGGTCGTTTCGGGTTTCCAATTCCACCTCGTGATTGCAGTCCTTCTGGGTCAGCTTCACCCATTACAGCGTAAACTAAGTCGCATGAGACATTGAGTCCATGCACCTCTCTTACCTTTTGCTGAATTGCCCGATAACCTAGAAGAACGCCAGGACCGTTCAACTCCTTTTTGACAGCTGTTTTAACGTCTTCCAATGCAATGTCGTAGTTTGTGTATTTAATATTAAAATGTTGAAGCCTGCAACTTAAAGTGCGAATGCTCCATGCATACATGGGATAATCTGCAGACATAAAGTCTAGTATCTCTTTTCGTTTTAAATTTCGCTGTACATATTTTTCAAGATCATGTCTCATCTCTTCATCATTTTCCCAATCAGAGTTCCTTATGCGTTCCGCCATATTTATAAAGTATAGAGCCCACTTCATGTAATATGGAAATATAGGGTTTAGAGGTAAGAATTACAGGGAATTGTGGGCTATGGCACTCATAGGCCATGGCATATGATTGATTCAGTTTATTTTTGGAAAACTGAACTGATTTGGAGAAAAAGCCAAACTTAAACAAAACAAAACTGAAACAAAACTATAATTGAACTGTTAAAAAAATAATTAAACAAAACAAAACTGAAACAAAACTATAATTGAACTGTTAAAAAAATAATTAAACAAAACAAAACTGAAACAAAACTATAATTGTAAAATAATAGAAATGAAATAATACCAATAATGGAGTGGAAACACTAGAAATTACTATGGCACTCATAGGCCACCATAAATCACAGTATCTCTGGGTTCCTTTTTTTTGATTTTATAACGACCGACTCTACATTGCAAAGAGTCCTACTCATTATACATTCTATACACGAGCCGACACTTGACACCGAATTAATTAAGTCAAATTTTTCGGCACGTGCCGTTCATTTTCGCGCGTTTTCCGCCACATACGGCTACTAAAGCGTAATTTGGCTTCTTTTACACGAACGTTTTTGGTATCTCTGGCGTTCCTGTTGCTTACGTGGCTACTAGCGATCGTTCCATGTTTGTTCTGCGGAATACGTCATCTCAACTTGGCTTTTTGCAATGAGGTGCGTATACTGCAAGCAATATTTCCGGACCCGTCACGCCCTGAGCAGCCACTGGAACTGCACGCACCATGGTCGGCCTAAAGGCGATGGAACTCCTCCCGCAAAGTGCACAGTCACGTTCCACACGGACTGCTCGGCTCAGGACCTTCACTGCCCACACAAAGGCTGCCACTTCCAAAGCCAACGCGTTGACACAGTCAAGCATTTATCCAAACACTTTTCCAGGTGCCACAAACGCGAGGAACTTGTCATCAACTACTTTTGTGGCACTTGTGGCGTATATTTGGACCCAGCTGAGCGCCAGTCCCATTGGGAAGCCCACTCTACAGCCTCCAAGTCTGGTGCTCAGTTCAGTCCTCCCACACCAGTCATTAATCCCACCACAGCAGAACTGACGCTCATTCCAAGCCACCATCAACCTTCATCATCGCCATCGCTATCGCCCATGAAGCTCGACATAAAGCTCCTCTCCCCACAAGAATCACTTCGTCTCACCTCACCCAAGAAGGCCTCCGAGCCTATGGCAACATGTCATCTCCACCACTCACCACTCAACCCTTTGGCTACCCCGTTCGCACCATCATCATCCCCTATACAACCACTAGTGTCGAGCCCCCCACGACTTTCGCTTTCATTCCCATCATCCAATTGGTTCACACCCACGCAAGACCCCTCGAAGAAACAGATTTCCTGCGACTCCGAGCCACTAGACCCCCCCACATCGCAAGATGATAGACTTTCCATCTACGGAGGATCTCCATCAGACAACTGCAGCGACACTCCTGTTTCCATCCATCCGCCATCACAGCCCGTTCCATCTCAATTCACCATACCTACACGATCACCAACCCTCTACTCCAGCCTCGGAAACTCCTCACATCTCATCAACCCAATAATCAGTTTCAACAACATTTTGAGATTTCCATTCAAACTCGCCGTCACGAGATAAACAGACCTCTCCCACAACGCCAATTTCACCACCCCAGCCTTTCACAATGCCTAGTTCACTGTCAAACTCGCCATCACATGCTTCCAACAGCACATCCTCGTCTGACAATCCTCTACCAGCGGTAACAGCGATAGGACGATACGTGGAAATAAATACCACATGCTCCACAGCCATAGACCGGCGCACACCAACAGATGTTGCACCTCCACTTCCTGTAACACAACAAATTCATCCACACTATCGGCGAGATCAACACTCTTCACGTACATCGTCCAACCTCCACCTCACACCTATTCTGAGGGAATATCGCAGGATGCAGAGCCTCAACAATGCTGAGAGGGGGATTGGGTCTCCTCCCCAACTCGATGAACATTCCATCCAACAAGAGATCGACCCGGATGAGAACATTGGGGGGGAGTCCTTGACCTCAACACATCTGCACCGGGCTATAGACTCTCAAACTCCATCTGTTCCATCTAATGATGACGACAATATCTCTGCTGACAACAACATTCAGTGTGCACAACTACGCCCTCCACGATCGCCTAACGTGGCCCCAGGAGACGACAAGGATACTGCTTCCTCAGATGGTGAAGTCTTCTGTGATGCAGACGAAGAACCTAACCACCCAATTGACCAGGAAATATTGGAAAACTTCCGTCAACATTGGTCCGACCAATTCAACTCGGATCTGACATGGGGGGAATTCTGTGACTCTTGCACAACATTTGCCTAGGAGAGCAGAGAGTTGGCCATCACATTGGCGAAAGCCCCCGAACATCGGCACTCCTCTAAGGACAATCACACCCAATCTAAAGGCCCAGCTCAACGACGCCCTCCGTTAGGTAGAGGAATTCCACGGGCCAATCGATTCGACCCGACCGCAGCTCGGCGAATTCAAGGTCTCTACAAACACTCTAAAAAACGAGCAGCGAGGAAACTACTGATTAACAACTCCGTGACTTACTCGGGCTAAGTGTCCGAGGCCGAGGAGTATTTCACTTAAAGTTTAGGGGAGAAATTTTGCATCCAACAATACTTTGCAGAAATGCTTTCTAAATTGGTCCCATCCGCTAGCGATGAAAGGGAGTGTGAGGAACTATATTCGCCCATAACGCAATTTGACGTCGCCACGAAGCTTAGATCAGTCGTCAACACTGCACCAGGCGCTGACAAGGTTGAGTATGGTCATTTGAAAAAGATAGACCCATGTGGGAAAATCCTATCCGCCATATTCAACCGTTGCCGAAGCAAAAACAACGTTCCCCCACTGTGGAAAACGTCCCTCACGGTGTTGATCTACAAATCGGGTGTGAAACAAGGATGTCCAATGAGCCCGATCTTATTTAATCTATGCATCGAGCTAATTCTGCGATGGACCAAAGAGGAAGCGGCAAAGTTAAAGTCTGGAACCTGAAACCACTTCGGAACAGAACTATCCTGCCTGGCATATGCCGACGACCTGGTTCTTATGGCACGCAGCAAAGATACTCTCCAACGTTTGCTGTATGCTGCTGCTGAAGCAGCCAACACTCTTGGACTGAAATTCCGACCTGATAAGTGTGCTACTCTTTCTCTAACATCAACCAGACAACGTGCCACGTTTGTCGAGCCAACTGACTACACCATTCAAGGCGAACACATCCCAGCTCTCTCGCAAGAAGAGTCCTACAGATATCTAGGAGTTCCAATAGGTCTGATACACAATATAGACGATATCCCGAGCATAGTACCGAAACTCATCCAACACATTAACATCATTCGTTCGTCACTCCTTGCCCCTCGGCAGAAGCTAGATGCGATCCGTACTTTTATTCAGCCATGCCTTACTTACGCCCTACGTGCCGGTAATCCGTTAAAACAGTCCCTGGATGAATATAAACGAATACTCGTATCGGCGCTCAAAGATATTTGCTTCCTACCACAGAGAGCATAAGGTTGGTGGTCTGTCAATGTTCGACCCTAGAACAGAATGTGACATACAAGCAATTGTCCAAGGTCTCCGTATGCTTTCGTCCTCTGATCCGAACGTTGCGGCTATGGCTAAACACGAGCTAAAATACATAGTCCGACGATCCACCCAGCTCAATGCAACTGCGGACCTCATCTCTGTCTACTTATCTAGCACCAAAGACTGCCGTACTGAACGACTATACTACTCATACTCCTCCCTGTGGTCAAGAGTTCGTCAAGCATGCCGTAGACTCTCTGTTACTTTTTCATTCTCTGACTCTGAACCACCAACGATCAATGCGGACGAATCTCCCGCCATCAAATCGGACAAAGTTACATATTTCTTGCACCAGCTGGTTCTTGACAGACACTCTAAAGATCTGACCGAAATCGTTGACCAAGGGAAAGTTGCGAGATGTCTAGCGGACGATCAATATGCCAACGGATCATCCTGGCCAGTGGCGGATCTAGGGTACCTCAAGACCCTCACGCGAGGTACATAAAATTTTCAAAGAATTACGTAATAATTGAGATCATAGGTTTTAGTCCAGTTAACTGAGTTAAGTTACTATTTGCGATCAGCGTTCAGTATCTGATCGCAAAATACTCAAATCTGATTCCAGTTTTTATAGTTTGCTTTTTGAAGCAAAGCGATTTTTTTGAGGTACTTGTCAGCGGCTACTGAGGTACCCAAGCTTGAATGAGCATTTTGATTGGCTAAAACTTGCAGTTACCATGGTTTCTCAGGGACTTGAGGAAATTTTGAGGTACCAAGGAAAATTTTGAGGCATAAGGAGAATATTTTGAGGCACTAGCTGGTTTTTTGACCTTGAACTTTGTTTGGAATAATGTCTATGATTGGTTACGATGTTCCATGTTTATTCTAACAGTGCATTTTATTGGTGCATTTTATCAACTCCCTCAAGTACAGCAAGCGCCTCACTATTTTCGACTTTCGACTTCGAGATACTAGTATCGTTAACATTTACCGCACGCAATTTCTTCTGAAAATGGATAGAGATTGTTTTCTAGAAGCCCAAGAGGCAATGAACAGCAACAACAAAGAAGCTCTGTTGCTTCTGTACAACGAGCTACGCGGGCAGTTGAATTCAAAGCCAAGATGTTCATCTTACTTGCTTCAATCAAAACTGGGCAATTCACTGTACCGGCATATTGTCGCTGAGACATATATTCCAAGCAGTATGAAATCGCAGGGAAATATCTACACTGCAATCAGGTAACGATGTGTTGATATGGCTGTTCAATTTAGCTTTTATTCTACTTCTGTCCGATTACGATGCTTTATCTGAATTTTTAATAAGCTTGTCAATATCTGATGTTTTGTAATTCTTATATTTTGCATTACTTGCCAGTGCAGAAATCCTTCGTTTACCAATCGAAGTTTGTATTTTATTCGAATAATTAAATAAGCGAATAATAACTTATAAATTTAACTGAAATACTGGTATACTATTTATGTAAGGAAAATTAAGAATCTGAATGAATAACTTTATATGGCAATTAAATGAAGATATGATCTTCGCACTTTGCTGGACAATTTTAAGCAATCGTCTCAGGAACCTGAAAAAATCAGGTGACTCAACGGGATTCGAACCCATGACCTCTGCGGTGCCGGTGCAGTGCTCTGACCAACTGAGCTATGAAGTCACACAGTGGTGAGCAGGTCAATAATTTCAAACACCACACTGCGTAAAACATTCATACGACATTCCTTTCACGAGAAAACAAGAGCCCAACAATATTGACCTGCTCACCACTGTGTGACTTCATAGCTCAGTTGGTCAGAGCACTGCACCGGCACCGCAGAGGTCATGGGTTCGAATCCCGTTGAGTCACCTGATTTTTTCAGGTTCCTGAGACGATTGCTTAAAATTGTCCAGCAAAGTGCGAAGATCATATCTTCATTTAATTTCAAACACCGCACTGCGTAAAACATTCATACGACATTCCTTTATATGGCAATGTTACATGTTATTAGCTGTTTTTAAATACGTAATATAACATTATTGGATGTTTAATATTTAAAGTTACGCTGTTTAGTACAACACAAAAGAAATTTAAACTAAAGAGGGATTATTTTGAACCTTGTAGATCTCAAGCATCAGGGAATTGTCTTTACAGCTCAGTATCTTTGCTGCTTGTAGGAGACAACAGCTTAGTAAGTATTTTAAGAATACTGACTTCCCTTGAGCTATACCTTCATTGTGATTTTTACAATAAACATCCTGCATTTTCTTTGGCAGTGACTGAGCACCATGACCTTAGTCTTGTTAATCTTTTGCCATTATCAGTATCGGCCTCATGTTTAGATTCCGGCTTAAAGAATGAGGATTTAATTAAGCAAGAAGCTATTTTAAATTGTTATGATGGTATCTGGTCACCTTTCTTGTGTATTCTGGGCTTATCATCAGTTATTGGTAATGAAACATTTACTTATTATCCAGATTGTGGGGACATAAGACCCAAATTACTTTTTAATAGACATGTAAACCCTCGCTTGGCAAATGAAGCAATTGTGAAGGATGTTGCTGTTCACATATTATTCTGCTATGAAGGCAAGGTTAAGTCTGGCGAGAGCTTTTTGTCAAACCGTTATGTTCCTCTTCTTTGCTCAACACAAAATGAAAAACATAAAGTGTGTAACAAAAAGCGCAAGCATCCTGACAACTCTTCTCTACAAGAACACCAAGATATTAAGCGATTCTTCCAGCTGTCTTGCATTGATAAACCTTCTAACAGTAATTTTAAAACTGATAAGTCTAGCCTTAGCACCTTATGTATTGACAAGTCTTCTTCTCTTGATGCAACTTGCTACAAAACCCCTTCTGATAAAATAGTGTCATTTAGTGAGGCTTCTTCTCTTGTTGACTGTCATATTCCCTTAATTTTGATGTTGCAACTTTCAGAGAAAAAGAAAAGGCATGAGCGATGGGGAAATTTACAATCTCATAGTAAATGTTTATAGACCAGATGAAAATTTTGAATTCCCAAAACGAATGGAAGATCTTTTCGTTATGATTGGTTAGAAAGGTATGAATGGTTATGTTATTCTCCATCCTTGGATGGGGTTTTGTTTGCCATGTGTCCTTTTTGGTGATAATTTTAAAGATAAGGCCTCAAAATTTCCAACCTATTCTCTCAGCCACTTCGTCGTTGGACAGATGCATCCAAAATGCTAAAACGTCATGATGGCAAAGAGAGTGATGGCAAAATGAGTTTTCATGGTTTGAATGGTTTGCATGCTTCTACTTTTCCAGTTTATTCTGCATTCAAATCTAACATGTCTGGTAAAACAAAAGGCATTAATGTTATTATTGATTCTAAGGTTAAGAAAGAAGTTGAAGGTAACCGGCTAAATTAAGTTCAATTACCGACGGTCTTAACATGTGGTCGTTTGGGCTTAGCCTTTAGAGGTCATCGTGATGATGGGCACTATCATCCTGAAACTGGTAATTTTTCTGCAGGTGGTGTTGGGAATTTTGTTGAACTTCTTAATTTTAGAGTGCGTGCTGGGGACAAGGTGTTAGAGGACCATCTGAATTCATGTGGTAGGAATCAGACATATATTTCTAAAACTTCCCAGAACAAGCTTATTAAATGCTGTGGTGAAGTAATAACAGATAAAATCATTTCTGACTTAAAAGCAAGCAGGTTCTACTCTGTAATTGCTGATGAGGCTCGAGACATCTCAAATACTGAACAGATGTCTCTTGTTTTATGCTTTATCGACCAAAATATGGATATTAGGGAGGAGTTTGTTGGATTTCTTCCTTGTAAATGGGGCTTAAAAGGTGAGCAGCTTGCTAAGGTTGTTCTTGATGCTTTAGGCAACCTTGGTCTTTCTATTGCTGATTGTAGAGGACAGGGATATGATGGGGCAGGTGCTGTTGCTGGTCATATTAATGGGATGGCTGCTCATTTGCGTCGTTTGAATGATAAGGCTCTTTTTACCCATTGCTACAGCCACAGATTAAATTTAGCGATTTGTGAGTCTATTAATATAATGGATGTAAAATCGATGCTCAATAGAGTTAAAAAAGTTTCTGATTTTTTTAATATTTCCCCTACACGACAAATACCTTTAGAAAAGAATATTGACCTTCATGGTTCTTTATCAGCCGGTAGGAAAAAGAAATTAATAGATGTGTGTCGAACTAGGTGGGTTGAGAGAATCGACGGCTTAGATACTTTCCAGCAGCTTCTTATTCCTGTTTTAAAACGTTGAGAGAAATGAAGAAAAATGTAGATAAAGATCACAGTCTCAATGTTTCTTTGGATGCCTCTGAACTTCTTGATCTTTTGGAAAAGTTTGATTTTGTAGTTGCCCTGGTTATTTGTAGAAATGTGTTTGATTCTACAATTGGTGTTACTCAGCTTCTTCAAGGGAAGAGTATTGACATTATGGATGGTTTACATCTTATTACATCGTTGAAAACTTTTGTTGTTAATGTTAGGAATTCCATTGATAAGTATCACGATACATGGTATGAAGAGTATGATTTAATTGACTGACCGTATAAATACGTAATACTACCTTTGTAAATAATCTCTGGGTAACCTACTGGTCCCATCATTTTTGGATATTAAACTTGATAAGAACTCTGTTCTTATCAGCTTAAGGGGCTGTTTACATGAGCCCGGCAAGCCGGGCTAAGAGATGTAGCCGAGGTACCTGGCCTCATAAGAACTTCCTAATAAAATATAATTTAGTTTACATGAGCCCGGTTTGCCGAGATCCCGTTTGAGCTAGCCGGGGAGCCCGGTTAAACGGGTAATTTTTCCATGTAAACACGTCAGCCCGGCTGACCGGGCTTAAAGTAGAATTACCATAGTAACTAGATACGTTCATTCTTCGTTCTTTGTGTAATGGCCGGACACATGTGCTCAATCAAGGTCAGTAATTACAAAACAAGACCTTTCGATTGTCACATGAAATGATCGAACTTCTTATCAATAACATCGAAACATACAAAACAATGTGCGAGTACGAAGGTAAAGATTTCGATGCAGCCTGAAACAATCTGAATGGATAAGAGGTAATACTGTACTTAAAGACTGTAAAGCTTTTGTTATTTTATGTACTTCTGGTTGAATTTTTGCGCACAAGTATGCTTAATAAGCTTTTAAATTTGTAGTTTAATACCACTCTGAATGATTCTTTTATATTTTTTATCTTGACAGTGCAAATGTTAGAGATGTATAGTGATCACTTTGGTCCAGCAGAAGCCGATATACCACATGCCATGGAAATGTCAAAAGATGAAAAAGAAGCTTATGTTAAAGATTTAAAAGTTCAACGTGACTTTATCAAAAAGGGTATTGTCAAATTCAAGAAAAAGTTAAAGAAATACGTCAAAATTTTAGCACTGCTGTAACCAATGGTAAAAGAAGTGGCAGCGTAAAATCGTGTTTGAATTCTCGATAGGCTGGCCAAGATATATGGTGGCTCAGCATCAGCTTCACCTCTAAGCATTGGAGTAGACACTGATACATTTAGTACCATAAACCAAGAGTAATGTGATGAAATTGGGCTAACTATAACAGATGAAAGCCATGATGGTTCAGATTTATCATCCAATGATTCACTGGATACCAGCTCTGGAGGTGTATCTTTTGGTGATAAGCGGGGTGCAGAAGATGCATGTGTTAAATTAAATGAGATATGATCTTCGCACTTAGCTGGACAATTTAAGCAATCGTCTCAGGACCTGAAAAAATCAGGTGACTCAACGGGATTCGCGGTGCAGTGTCTGACCACTGTGCTATGAAGTCACACAGTGGTGAGCAGGTCAATATTGTTGGGCTCATGTGAAATGAATGTCATATGAATGTTTTTATGCAGTGCGGTGTTTGAAATTAAATGAGATATGATCTTCGCACTTAGCTGGACAATTTAAGCAATTGTCTCAGGACCTGAAAAAATCAGGTGACTCAACATGAGCCCAACAATATTGACCTGCTCACCACTGTGTGACTTCATAGCTCAGTGGTCAGAGCACTGCACTGGCACGCAAATGGGTTAATCAGTCACCTGATTTCAGGTCCTGAGACATTGCTAAATTGTCCAGCTTGCGAAGATCATATCTCATTATTCAAACACCGCACTGCATAAAACATTCATATGACATTCATTTCACGAGAAAACATGAGCCCAACAATATTGACCTGCTCACCACTGTGTGACTTCATAGCTCAGTGGTCAGAGCACTGCACCGCACCGCAGAGGTCATGGGTTGAATCCGTTGAGTCACCTGATTTTTTCAGGTCCTGAGACGATTGCTTAAATTGTCCAGCTAAGTGCGAAGATCATATCTCATTTAATTTCAAACACCGCACTGCATAAAAATAATCATATGCATGTGTTAAGTTAATCGACAATAAAAGAAAGCATATGGAGCGCACCCTCAGTGCGGCTCAACGAGATCGAATTCTCCTTAAAGAAAGCAAACATGAAATGAATTTTAGGAAAGAAATGACAGATGTTGTTAGAGAATCCTCGAGGAATGCAACTGCAGCAATTACACACATGAGTACGGCCATTGAAAATATTGGATCAGGATTGACACGATCAATTGAGATGTTAGCTTCGGTGATTGCCAACGAGCAGCAGCAGCAGTATCAACATCCACGATATCAACACCCCCGATATCAACATCCACAATATCAACGCTCACAATATCAGCAGCCACAATATCACCAACGATTGTCAATACCTGCACGGCAACAAATGCAAAACAACTCTGCGTCATCATATAATCCAGATGACCCTGCAGTGTAGCTATATAATGTAGTCACACTCCAAAAGGTATTTACTTTAGAGTATGAGCAGATGACACTATGGCTGTACTTGGCATTGAAACTTAAGACATTGTTAGCAACAGTAACTTTTGTGTCACTATATTATTAAATTTTTTCAGTTCCTCTTTTTCACATATTATTTCACTCAGAGACCCTGTATGTTCAATAACCCATATAAGCACTTACATCACTTTGAAATTTCTACTTTCTACTAGTATTTGTAGTTTGCAATCCCATTTTCTGATAATGTATGTTTAAAAGAGGCTTAATGGGTTCTTGTTGTTTTGTTGAGTTGTTTTAATAGGGACAAAGTATTAACATTTTGTAACATGCTTGTTTTTTTTGTATATTTCCTATTTGAAACAATTTTGTTTACCTTAACAAACTATATATATCCTAAAGTTTTACAATTGCATGAAAGTGTAGACTTCATTTACTTATTAATCTGTTACCAAATGATCAGGAAGATTTAACTTAATGTAAGTAGTCAAAACAGTTCTAACAACTCCTCCTTCCCTTCATTGCTAGAATACTTTGCCAAAGGATTTCCATTTTCTTGCACCTTCTTTAACGAAATTTGTTTTTCAACTAAGCTGTGGTCAATTCCAGTCTTATTTTGTTCACAATAGTTGTGAAGAACAAAGCATGAGTAAATTATTACTGGTACATTTTCTAATTTTACATCGATCTGCTTACTTAAAACTGACCATCTAGCTTTAAGCCTTCCAAATGAGCATTCAATTGGGTTTCGGGCTGATCGCAACAAATTATTAAATAGAACCTCTTGGTTTGTTGTGCATGTTTGGTATTCTTTCATGCAATACGGCAAAAGAGGATAGGCTGGGTCCCCAATTAAATAGTTTGGGATTTCTGCATGACCTGGCACTAGTCGTTTGTAAGTAACTGGAAGTAGACCATTGCTCAACTTTCTATTTATAGAAGAGTTGGCAAACACTTTCGCATCGTGGACACTTCCTGGCCATCTGCAATCTACATCCATGAAACGACCTTAAAATCACAAACAGCTTGAACACTCAAGGAATAAAACTGTTTATAATTAAAATATTCTTGAGAGTTACAAACTGGTCTTTTAATTCGTACATGAGTTCCATCAATGCATCCAAATGCTTGGGGCATCCCAAATTTTGCTTCAAATTCAGCAGATTTTGTCTCATTTCGTCTTTACTCATTGGCAAATGTATGTATTTCGGGCGAGATGCTTCAATGGCATAACTGACTTGTACTACATGTCTAGAAACAGTACACAGCCACACCAAAAGTATTTGCTGTCATTGCCATAGAGCGGTGTCCTTCAAAAATACAAGGTCATAGCCAACTTTTTTTCTGCGCTCAAAGCCATATAATTTGGAGAAGAAAGATCTGGGGATATAAAAGGCCCGTAGTTCGTCAGCTAGTTTTTTAAATTCTTCCCGGCTCATTCGAAAATTTTTTTTCCACGTATCAAGTGGCATTTCGTTAGATAAAAGCTTTGCCCACCAAGATTCTGTCCTTCCATTTTGCCTCCAAGTTGACCTCCGCTTTTTGTTGTTTCTTTTTGCAAAGCACGCTCGTCTTCTTTTTCGAGCGAAACAACTTCTTGTAGCACACAATAATATAGCCATACATTGTACCATTTGATGATGGTTTAATATATTGATGACCAAAAAGCCGTAAATTTGAATGAAAACGATCAAAAAAACAAAAATAACTAATACAATAATCGTTATAAGTGCAGAAACGTTCGCCATGTTAGGTTTTTTAATTTTCGCGCGAAAAACACCAGCGACTTCTCGCGCGATTATTGCCATGTAAAGTCGGGCTTAAAATTAGCCCGGCTTGCCGGGCTCATGTAAACAGCCCCTAATAGGAAGTTGCTACTCTTGATCAAATTACGTTAATTGGTTCATTGGAAAGTTAATTGGTCAACTAATTGGATTACGCTCATTAAGGTTAGTGGAATTTGATTTAGGATTTGCATTTACGTCGCTGGATCGGATTGGAATTGGAATTGGAATTGGACGACCCTTTGGTATCATCGCACTTGGCATTGTTTTACGAAGCGATACAGAATTTGAACTTTCGACCGGTATTCCCGTACATCGTTCGGTTCGGCCCGATCTATCGCGTTCGAACACGTTATTTCTCTACTGCAACTGGTTTTGCCATTGCTACGAACACTGTGCACGAGTTTCTACTCATAACTATCGCTAAAAAAACCGATATTTCGAAGACGAAGACCCCATCTACACGTATCCGGATTCGTTTGTATCCGCAAAAATTTTGTTGCGGATTCAAAACTTTACGCGTCCACACGTATGCGAACTCGGTGCGTTTTTGTGCGTCCACACGTAGCCGCGAAAACGATACAAATACGCAATTATTGCTTACAGAGCATGCGCTGTTATGAATAATGAGCACGCAATATTTTTGACTAGAGATTGCTTCGATCATACGGTAAAATGTCGAATTGTCCAACAAAAACTACTGCTTCGGGGTCATCAAAGAAAAAAAGTAAGAATGAAGCTTGTGTGTGGACAGATGATGAAGTGGACCTTCTATAAAGCGTCGTTTTAGAATATAAAATCGCGAAAACATCAGAAAATTTCGATTGGGAAACCTGCCAGTCAAAATATGCTGACATTTTGGATCTGTTTATATCACAATATCCTTCCGCTGAAAACGCTATTCAGCTTGATAAGGAATTTCCGCATCAAGAAAATGAGCTTACAAAAGCTATTCTGACATCCAAAACGAAAGCCATTCGCTCAAAGTTTCGCGCTGCCATCGACAGTGGAAGAAAAAGTGGCCATGGAAGAGTTGTCCTTCTCTTCTTTGATAAATGCCAGGAAATATGGGGTGGCTCGCCAGCTACAACCACGCTACAAAATGGCATTGAAACGAGTCAAATAAGTGACGAACAAGAACTTGACTTGTCATTTAGCTCTCCTTCTTCCAGCACCCCTAATTCCCAACCCTACCAACAAAATATCCCTACCACAAGGTCCATCTCTCCACTGAGCAGGGAAAGTGAAACCTCAAATGAGCACGAGTGTTTGGAAGTCGATGATGAACAAGATCCAACACTAAAAGATTCAAGTTCCCTAAAGGAAAGACGAGATCTACTAAATAACAGATTAAAGAGCTACAGACAAGACAAACTTAAACGAAAACTCTCTGTTGACTCAACTTCTCAATATTGCCAAGGAAGATATGGAAATGAAGAAAAGGATTTTTCAAAATGGATGATATAGACAGACAGCAGGGAGAAAACATGAAGAGGTTAACTTCAAACATGGAACAGTTGACTGGTTCCATTGTTGAAGGCTTTGCAATGCTCCGCAAGTTATGCAGCAACCACCTGCTATGTCTTCTCAATTTGTACCACCTGTACATTATCAATCTGGTATATACAACAGAATGCCGAATCATTACCAAACTAACAGGATTAGGGAGAATGAAACATTCAACAACGATTATGAACAGAATTTGCATTTTCAGCCAGATAATAAGAGTAATACAGCATGAAAACGAAGATTGATTTAATGAGAATTTTAGTGCAGTAGTGTAAGAATTATAAATAAAAGCATGGTTTGCCTTTACTCACGTATAACTGTCTTAAATATTTTCTTTAATTCTTGTTTTGTTCATCATTGAATTATCTACAGCTAGAAGGTACACAGTTAATGTTGTGGAATCAGAAGTATACCTAAAATGTGGTTTGTAGCATCTTAAGTAATCAGGTCTGTGTTTGGTTAGGTAAGTTCCTTTTCCAAGGATTTTATGTCTTGACGTTTGGTCATTTGTTGGACGGTGCTGATGGGGGTCGCCTTCATTGGTTGTACTGCCGGATAGCCCGTTCGTCGTACGTTGCGTAGTACAGCAAGCTGTCCTTTTCAATATCTCGTCTCATCCTTTTTTAGTCTGTTTTTGTCAAAGTTTTGGCATTTATGCCAGAGCTTAGTATCGTCGAGTTCCTAGATCTCTCCTTTTGTTTCTCTGTCGGTTTTGTCCGAGAGAGGTTCACAACCTCTGTCGATCTTCGTCGCTTGTAGCGGCCTCCCTGAGTGCACCGGTCTTGCATGTAAGGGTTCCTAGTCATTGCACACTCCAACTTCGTAACTTACCCGGTCCCCACCCAAAACAAGATCAAGTGTAGTAGCGTATGACGTCGGTACGCTCATTCTTTCGCTCTAGGTTTTTCATAAAATTTTGTAGTTAAACACTACATTTTCGTATTAATTTTGGTATAAAAATATAGATAAAGTTGTTATCTTTCCTGTTATAATATTCATTTTTCCTCTGGATAACGTATTATTGAAGAAATTTCGGTTTTCATCACGAAGCCTGGATTGACAGCAGACTTTAATTAAATTCAATTAACGGCAATCATTTCGTTCAAAGTTTCTGGAGTTCTCTAAAGCTCTATCACTTGGAATTTATATAAGAAGATCCATTGGCTATCTCTTAACACTTTTGGAAAGTTTGGCAACTATACGTGCGGTACTTTTGGAGATTCAACGTTTTTCTATTTGTTGCGTGAGTACTCTATCTCAACGTCAGAATTTAAAATATCGTGCGTTATAAACGAAATCGCCGGTTACCTCAAGATATATTGAAAGTTATATAATCCTTACCTTATATCCTGTTTTATCGTCATCTTATCTTTGATCAAGATCTTCGAAGTATAAAAACGGAGATTATCGTCGTTTCATAACAGAACTGAGAAGACAAGTCCGTTGCAGTTTGTATATCGATTGCTACGGTGACGATTTTTAAATCCGAAATTTGCATATATTCGATGCCATCTTTGTCAGAATTCCCCATCTTATTCTACAATTTTTAAGCTACTCAGCAACAGCCAATCAAGTCCACCGCCCAAGATATACAAGGGTTTTCCTAATATATTCTGCCGCTCGTTCTACGCTTAAAACAACAAATCCATCGAACATCATTGCTCCCAATAACAGACGACGCACGATGTCCCAATAGCCCTCAACGGCAAAGCTCTTCAACTAAGACTATACGATGGACAACTCAAATTATACGGATAATTGCTCACAAACATTCCATTGTAAAGACTGCGATTTTGAAACACACATACAAAGTAGACTAAGCCTCCACCGTGTCAAGAAACACCCCACTGTATTGACGATAACATCAAGTCAATTAATGTGGTTGTCGAATACCCCAAAGGGAAATCATTCTACTGCTGTATCTGCGACACGATCATAGCCTCTTTAGCAAACTTCTGCAGACATTGCCTGACATCACACCCCAAGTACCTCTCAATACATCATGTCTATGCACCATCTGCGACACCCTTTCGACACAACAAAGGCGGGAGTCCACCTCAAACGGTCACACAAACTACCATCCACATTCACGCTCAACCCACCACCCGTTGAACCCATAATTTCATTCGTGGATTATCATGACTCTCAAATAAACACCCCAACTCAAAGGACCCACCTCAGTCGACACCACCATCCACCAGCCAACCCACCTCTACGAAAACGAGACAATCACGTAACATGAAAAGACACACTCGTGCCTCCAGATGCTCACTGACATTCACCCAACCCCCAACCAGCCCTTCTACAACATCAACACAACAGACAAGCAACAGCCCCGACTCCAAATCACAATCACATCAACAACTATTAGCAACACCACAACTTGATTCACCAAGACTGCCCACCTCTATCTCTAAACCGCTGCCATGCTTACTTCCCTGCCAAAATCAACCACTGCCTGAAATAACAACATCTCCTATTAATACACACCACTCTCTACCTCTCACCCATAACGACACTTCAACCACTAACTACACAGACGATAACCCAATTAACGATTCACCAAACAGACACATCCCTCCATCACTCATCGATCGACCATGGGTTAGTGAGGTTGTTGACACTTACTCAGGCACTGAAGAACACACGTCCTCACAAGACACAACACCCTCATCAACTCTCCATGACTTTCACCCTCAGCTCACTACGTTACCAGATTCACAACCCGAAAACACAAGTCCTAATGACGTCTTAACCAATTCATACCCATCCACATTACCAAATCAGTCCGAGGAGGCTCTCACATCGCTCAAGTCAAAATGGACAGAAACATTTGCCAGAGACTCGGATTGGACACAATTCACTAATGACTGTGAGGAATTTACAGAAGAGTTATGGAACTACTGTAAAAACAACGGTAACTTGAGCAAAAACATCCCTAAGGCTCGAAATACTTCCAGACCATCGAATCGCCCTGTAAATGTAAACCGAAGGCCAATGCAATACAACCCTCGCGAGGCACGACGAATACAAACCCTTTACAGGATCTCAAAAAAGAGAGCAGCGCGGAAAGTCATCACAGATAACAAACCACCCTACTCTGGAAGCGTAGACGCTGCCGACTCTTTCTTCCAAGAGACATTCTCTGAAAAGAATGTCAACTCCAATCTACTAAAAGACAAACTATCTGAGTTTGTTCCTTCGGGCCCTATCGACAACACGTTAGACGATGACATCAGCTCCGAAGAAATAGATAAAAAACTACGCTCCTAGAGTCTTCTGTACCTGCCGCTCCTTCGCGATCGTATGCCGCGATTGCAAGGAGCAACATTCTGTCTGCCAACGCCTCTGAGAGTACCGAGTCATCCACTCCCTTATTAACTAATAATAATAGTAATGCCCAGTCAGCTCCTGCCTGCGTTTCCGACACTCCGGAACCTGCCTCTTCTGCCTTGCCTGCCTCTTCTGCCTTGCCTGCCCTTCCTGCCCCTTCTGGGGAGGGTAGCACTGTCAACATGGAGTCATCTCCATCGAACCCATGGAGCCCCGTTCACGAAGACGTGGGAAACGGCGCCATTCTCCCACTACGTCACCACAACCGGAGGAGAAACGTGCGACGCCTGCCGACGCAGAACCTGAAACTGTGCCCCTCCCTGCGGACACTGATGACGACGATGATGATGATAATAATGAAACGGATATGGACGACGAGACAAACACGAACACGAACGTTGATGGCGATGATGATAATGATGATAATGATGATGATGATGATGATGATAATGACGATGTTGATGATAATGATGATAATGCTGATAATGTTCAGCACAATAAAAATGATGATATTGGTGACGACAATGAGTCACAACAGTCGGAAGTTGACCAAATGGACCCTGCCGACTACCTTGATCTTGGTGAGGATGAATACACCAGCGATGATGGCGCGTCTTTCGCTACCGTTTCGGAGGCGGAGTTGCCCGACTCGCCTGCTCCTCGTCCCGATGCGACTTTCTATGGAAAGCCGATACTGCCAAAAGTCTATCGAATTACGTAGATGGGTCTCAGTTGTGCAATAATATAGTTCAATCGACTTTTAATACTGTTGAGATAAAATACTATAATTGAAAATTAAATTTACATGTTCGAGATTCTCAGGCGAGTTTTCAATTCTGCGTTTTTAATTCTCGCAGGCGAGTTTTTAATTCTCGAGTTTCAATTCTCAAAGGCGAGTTTTGTTTGTCAAGCGCGTGATCTCGCGTGAGTGAGTTCCACGTTAGCAAACAGTTTCACTTCACATAACATTACATGTATAAAATAGCAAATGTGTTGGTATGATTGTATGTTATAGCTTAGAAACGCCTCGTAGAGTTTTTCTCTTAATTTAGTTTATTTCGTATATGTTATATTAGACAAGATAGGCAACTCTCAACACAAAATGACTGACCGTCAACCTAAACAGTTTTAGGATTTTTCACCATTTTTCTTCACTCGAGGAACATTCCCAAGTGTTTGGATCGGGCCAACTAAGCACTTGAAATCATTTAGTATTTATTTTATGCAATTAGCACCAGAGGATAGTGCTGCAAGTTTTTTTTAGTAACCGGAAATACGAAAGTTAAATTCTCCCACGCGAACGAAGACGTAAAATTTAGTAAACAATGAAGCAACAACAACGAAAACGTGGAATTACTGTGACGTTATCACCTTTAAAAGTTTGGGAAAATCACCGATTTTTAGTTAGGATTTACACCGCCAGAATGTAACTTTCTGCAAAAAATCGTATTTGCTTTTAACGACATGGCCTGATCTATGCATGGCATCGACCAATCAGAACACGCGTTATTATTATGTTGTATTCAATAATTACACCGTCACAAGGTTGCACGTGCAACAGAGTGATAACAGAAAAGACATGAATGCAATAATAGAACAGATTTTGGCAAATATAAACCGACTGGGCCGTGAACTACAAAACAATGGAAAAAGCTCTGTTCTGTTTAATACTCCCACTCAAAATCAGGTACGCTCTGTGTTTCAATTTTTCTACATACATATATTTAGGTATCAGTTTTGGCTGCTTGTACTCATTATATGACTTCATATCTCTACCTAGTGCATTTAAAAAACAATCTGTTTGCCTTGAATAACTATCGAGGGAGGGTGTATCTTAATATTAAGATATCAGAGCTATATCAGTGTATTGACATATCAGAGCTATATCAATTATCGTTCTAATGGAGCTGCCGTACATATCACATAAATTAGTCTTGATAGTTGCCAAAAATAAACGACTGATGAAGTTCATGATATCAATGTCATTGACTGAAACCTACCTCCACATCATCTGTGCTGTGTGATATTCTCAGTGTTTATCTTTTATTTTGTTTTCAGGCTAGTACGAGCACCAGTACTAACAGTGAAGTTTCAAGAATATTCAGGGGATCAAGCCCTTCCATTACCAGTCCCTTATCTGCTGCAAGCCAAACGCAACAATCTATTGCAACTGCTACTATGAGCACTCCACGCTTTAGACTCAGGCACAATTTTCCTCAGACAACATCTAGAGGCAGGAAAAAAGATAAAGGAGTTGCAGGTCCATTCACAAAAGATGTCATCTTGCTGAGTGGTCCAGAAGATGACACAGTACCTCGTCAAGGTTCTAGGGTGTGGTTAATGGAGAATCAACACATCCTATGTGGCGTGCAGCTTCGAAAAGAATGGGATAGCACTAAATTGATATCTTTTTTCAAAAATTTATTCCCATCCAAACTCATGGATTCAGATGAAATTGAGATTTTACTGTCAGTCCACTTCAAACTATTGCCACCCACTTTGGCTCCAGGGCAGTTGTTTACTGGTTTTGTTCTTCAAAAGATATTTAAGGATAAGCCTATTTACATCCGCCCTTCACGGCAAATTCTTGAAATGAACCCAGAAGAACCTGCAGCAAAAAAAGAGAAGCTAGATGATGAACAATTTGAGGTAAATATACATTTTAAGTACAATCATATCAATTTTGAATAGTTTTACCATATTTTCCAGCACCATAGTGTGGTTATGGCAATCATATTACAGTTCTTCTATTCCAACATCTTGTCTGGAAGCATGAGCTGGAGGTTTATTGTATTCAGCGTGTCACAAACATACCACATTTCACATTAATAAGCTATAGACAAACACGGTGACAGATTAGCAATTGGACAGGATGTTGTAGTTTGTTAACTCTTCTTGAGGGCGGAGAGTTGTGCATGAGATTGGACCCAAATTGTTTAGAAGTTTATTTATGATCTTTGCCAAAGTCTTTTTCTTGCCAATAATTAAAAATTCAGTTGTTATTAAATAATGGTATATCGTCTGATTTTTTAGGAATTTGCCAGGCATTCAACGTGGGATTCAAATGTCACATTGGGTGTGTAGTATTTCCTTTATTTTTAACCGTCACGAATACGTAAGGGTTTACAAATGATTAGCAGTAATTAATGTTAAAATTCCAATAATAACAAGGGGTCTACTGCTTAACAGGAGATCCAACAGCTAGACAAATTTTAACACAACTCCATTAAAGGTGGGCTAATTTTCTGCCATACCCTGATTTCCACTTTCTGTAAATTTACAACAAATCTTAACATTTAACAAATTTCCAGCAACTCTCATAAGAAGGAGGCATGACCTTAGCCCTAACCCCCAAGGGGGTTGGAGATTAATGGGTTTTGGAATAAAGGGTTTTGATGTTTTACTGATCAGAAATACATTGTGTGCATTATGAGTTAAAAGCAGTTTGTTGCATGTACTAGGTGTAGTAGACCATGTGCAATCAATTATTGAAGATGAAGTAGTAGAAATTGAACCACCAGTAAAAGATATGTCAACCATTGCAGATTCTGTAAAGCAATGTATAGATTACTGCCATGAAAGGAACATACAAGACCCAGTGGAGATTTTAAGAGTTGCTCAAAAATTTATAGTAACAGGTCGCCAGCTAGAGGTTACAGATCCAAGTGTATGTTTAGAGGGAGAGACCAACTACATTTTAGTCAACCGCCAAGATGTCCTTAAAAGTGCTATGGAGGAAATAAATCCGTTAGTGAATCCAAGATTGACACTAGAGGTATTCAGTGGTCTTTTATATCTTATTCTCTATATCATCACATTTAAAGTTTTTTCATGCCAACTAGTAAATAGCTACTTTTAGTGTCAATATTCAATACTTATAATGACTTTGATAGTAATGTTTTCTTTCTTAATTGCAAACTGCAGCTTAATGTTCAGATTTTTTGGCGTTTGCCCTTGAATGTGTTTTGCCCTGATTATGTCAATTGATCACTGCAGGTATCCTTTTACGGAGAGATTGCCACTGACTACGGAGGACCAAGACGAGAGTTTTTCCGGTTGTGCTTGCACGAAATTAAGGCTAAATATTTTGAAGGAGGTCTAAAAGATCATTTATGTGATGACTACAGTGTTATTGGCTTAATCATGGCCTTGAGCATTCTCCAAAATGGTACGATCCCAAGATTTATGTCACCTGATGATCTACAAGATCTTTTGCACTCGGACAGTCCGTCCAAGTGCAGAATCTTCGCACAGGATTTGCTAAACTTGGACTTTACGAGATTGGAAAAGCATTGCCTAGCTTCTTCAACCTTTTACACCAATCTCCAGCAGTACTACTGTCAAGACGAAAGCTTATTCATATCCTTGTCCCAAGTTTTTCAGAAGACGGATCAAATGCCCATTATGATGAAAACCTCACATATCAGTGCTTCCTTCAATATTTGCAAGCTGCAGCAAGTGGCATCAGGGGGTCGATAACTCTGAACCACTTATTACAATTTGTAACTGGAACAGATGAGGAGCCTCCACTTGGCTTTGCTTGCCACCAAAATAACCTTTCCGTCCGTAGACGATGCTAACCGCTGGTCGTTTATTCCGTCTGCAAACACATGCTCAAACACACTTCATTTGCCGAGGTGCGTCTCTGGCAGGTTCCCTCTTCCGCAAGAGAATGCATTATTTGATATTTACGATGTTGCCTTTGCAAATGCATACTTTGGTAAAGCTTAGTGCTTGGAAAAAGACATTGGACATTCTACTTTACAAATTGTTTTGTTATACAGTATACAAAATTTCTTGTTTATGTTATGATTACATGACGTTCTGTTAGTGATGTGCTTATTACGCCATCTTAATCTTTCTGCATAAAAATGCTATGGACTTTCATATAAATAGATAAAAATGTGTCAGAAAAGTCGGTAGAGGACAAAAGTAAAAAAATAGCGTCTTAAATTATGTTAAAGTAAGTTATAATGTAAGAACGAACATTGCAGAAATGTTGTATTCCTGAATCTCCGTCATTGCTCAAAGGATCAAAACGATTGCTGAGTTCTATATACTCATCCTCTGTAAGACCAAATTGGTTAGTTGGGACACTTATTCCATTGTCATCATCATCAACTCCTGGAAAATCGTAGTCGATACCATAACTGTTAAGGTCTTCCGCAGTGTCAGTGTTTAAGGCGTTAGTATTCCGTGTTAACATACCATAATTCCAAAGGGCAATAGGAGAAGATTGGTTTGTTGTTCTCATGCCATGGTAGTTCCACTGCAATATAAGCTCATCCGTGGATTGACGAATGCGTGGCAAGAAAATGTAGTGCAGTATCCATATGTCCAATTCATTGTTACGGTCAAGAATCTCGTGCAGTTCCATGTGCTGAAATATATCTCTATACAAACTGATGACCACCCTGTTGACTTCTCTCCAAAGTCTTTCGATTCTGTTATTGTGGACGCTCCTGCCTGCGATAAAACTTCCTCTGTTGGTGCCACGTTTAGAAACCATAAAATGTGCAACATCGTAATTTTCGACTCCTCTGTCGCCACGAACTCTACTAGGGAGTCCATATTGCATAACTCCATCCTGGAAGTAACGAAGGGTCTCGGCAGACAAGTTATTGGTCGAGCATTGCAAGTAAATTATTGCTCTACTATAACCATCAACACATCCATGGAACACAAACTGCCAAGAAATTAGTTTATGGTCAGAATCTATGTGCCATAAACTATTAGGTGATTTAACATTGTACACTCTTTTTCGAACAGTACACCCCCACCGAACAGCTCGTCCTATAGGGTCTACAACTTGAAGCCGCTGTCTCACCCTCCAGCGCTGCACCAGCACATCCCTACCTTTTAAACTTCCTCGAATATAGCTCTCTCCTGCTTTTGGAGTCAAAGCTAATACATTCTTCAGTAAGACGTCAAGTTCAGCGTCAGTAATGTCAGAATATCGTACGTACAAATCAAAATTTTCGACTCTCCTGTACAATGTTCTTTCACTAACATTGATGGATTTTGCAATCTTGCTCCAAGTCATTCCAGTTTCGCGAAGATATCCTAACTGTTGTTTAGTGATTATAAATTTTGGGCGTCCTCCAGTCACCTCCTGAGGAGTGAGGTATTGCGAACTTTGCAACGACTGTTCGGCTGCGATTTTCTCTTTGACTTCATTCCATTTGCTATAAGCAAATTCGTACAATTGCTTTAACAATACAAGTACATCGTTTGTTTCCAGAGTATTTTCATTATTTTCATACGAGCTAATCATCCCAAAAAGAACTACGATGAAATATTCCAGTTTTCTTTCCATATATTCCGTGAGCATGTTGTCAGTTACGTTGTTCAACTGCTTCAATAAGTCGTTGAAATCTCTAAAATACTTTTCTAACTCGTCTCTGGTCGCCATGTTTAATTCGTCTTGATATCAGAAATTTATATACAACTACTGCGAGAATTAAAAAACTCGCCTGCGAGAATTAAAAAACTCGCCTGCGAGAATTGAAAAACTCGCCTGCAAGAGTTAAAAAACTCGCCTGCGAGAATTGAAAAACTCGCCTGCGAGAATTGAAAAACTCGCCTGCGAGAATTAAAAAACTCGCCTGCGAGAATCTCGAACATGTAAATTTAATTTTCAATTCTAGTATTTTTTATCTCAACAGTATTAAAAGTCGATTGAACTATATTATTGCACAACTGAGACCCATCTACGTAATTCGATAGACTTTTGGCAGTATCGGCTTTCCATAACTTTCCCTCAAGAAAGGCACACGAGTTGCGAATCGAAATGAGTCTGCTAGTGCCGTGACACACGATGCGGACGCATTATATAAATTGGCGGCGGTGCTTCCCACCCAGGGGGGCTCTCCTTACTAACTTTTTTTAACTTTTTAGACAATTTTTTGTCTGTTCTTTTTTCGAATTTTTTCTTGCCTTTATTTTTACTTACAATGACTACTTCACCGTCATTATTATCCATTATTACGTTGAACTGCCAAGGCCTCCGTAATGCGACACAGAGGTCTGTCTTATTTTCCTGGCTATCTTGTTTTTCCCCCGTTATCGTGTGTTTACAAGAAACCCACGCTACCAGCCATGCCGAATTTGAGCAATGGATCGATGCTGAAAATCGGGCCGATAATAACAAGACCAAGTATCGAGTCCTTTCCTCTCCGGCACCACCGTTGGGCGTTCTCTATCACCCTTCTCTCTCAGTTCTTTTTCTTCAGCCGACTCACAAGGTTGGTTGCAAGTCATCCATTTCTCTTTTCATTCTACATCTTTCCAGCTTATTAACATCTATGGTCCAAACCAAAAGAACCCTGGCATAGAGTTCTTTAATTCTATCCTCCCATTGCTTAATGTCTCTCTCCCTACAATCATGGGAGGAGATTTTAATACGGTGGTTGATCCACATATTGACCACACTGGTTGCAATCCTACTTCACCGTGGGCATATAATTGGCCACACACCTGGCCACCCTTACTACCGAATTAAATTTAACGGACATATGGAGAACTCGCCATCCTTATGAACGCTCCTATACCTGGTCTCGGTCTAACGGACAAGTTGGATCACGCCTTGACATGTTTTGGGTGTCTTCCTTCTTAGCACCGTATGTGAAGGAAATCTCCATTTTACCGTATTTTCGAAGTGACCATTCGTATGTTTATCTTTCTTTTTCTCTTCCGGATGCGCCGGAGCGTGGAGGGCTGCTGGAAATTTAATAATAACCTATTAAATAATGCAGTATATAAACAATTAATAGAAAATATTTGGAAAGAATGGACAAACGAAAAGACCCATTACCCTTCCTTACCTGTCTGGTGGGACGTTGGGAAAGGACTCATCCACCAACTCACCGTTGATTTCGCTGCCGACATCGCGGCAAAGCAGAGGGGAAAACTACCAAACCCTCAACAGCCATCTTACGTCGCTTTCTTCACGTCGTGACGCGGGTGACGATGTGACGGAGCAAATTAATGAAGTAGAAAATGATCTCTACGAGCACCACCGTCGCAAGGCCGAAGGTGCACGCTTGCGAGCACGTGAACGTTGGGCCGAAGAGGGGGAGATCTCCTCTAAATATTTTTTCCAGCGGGAAAAAAACCCGTGCCGTTAAGAACTTGATGCATGCGATCAACGATGTCAACGGACGTGTTGTACGAACTCTGCGTGGGATATTGCATGTGTGGATGCTATTCTATACTGCCATATTTTCTGCTGCATACTTAGATGCCACCGAACAAACTTTCTTCCTGCGACATTACCACGAAACTGTCCCCTATGGAGGCAGCCCTGTGTGAGGGAACTGTTTCTTTAGCAGAATGTTCTGCTGCATTAAACTCTTTTGAAAATAATAAATCTCCGGGGGTGGATGGCCTTACCTATGAGTTTTACCGCGCTTTTTGGACCTTTTTGGGCCCAGATTTAGTATCTGTTCTCAATGCCTCTTTCACCGACGGGAAATTATCCCTGTCACAGAGAACGGGAATAATAACGCTTCTATATAAAAAGGGGGACAAACTGGATCCCAAGAACTGGCGTCCCATAACTCTGCTCTGCACAGATTATAAAAAATTTCAAAGATCCTCACTGGCTGCTTGACCAAGGTCCTTCATACTGTCATTTCACCATGCCAGACGTGTGGCATTCCGGGACGTTTCTTGAAGCTGTGCGTTTGATACAAGACTGTTTGGACTTTGCAAACTCTTCCAACACTGGTGGCGTCCTCTTATCACTCGATCAAGAGAAAGCCTTGATAGGGTCGATTGGGACTTTCTACAGAACGTCTTAACCACCATGAATTTTGGACCTTCTTTTTGTGCTTGGGTCCGCCTGCTTTATACCACCTTATATTCCCGTATATTAATTAACGGTGCTCTCGGGGATCCTTTTTCTATTTCCCGGGGAGTACGGCAGGGTTGTCCCCTTTCACCACTTCTATACATCCTGGCTGCCGAACCGCTTTCCCAAGCGATTCAGGACTCCGACGCTATCCATGGGTTTCTGTTACCAAATGGCTCAACTGTGAAACTCTTACAATACGCCGACGACACGTCTTGCTTCGTCATGGATGATGCCAGCCTGCTCGCCTTATTGACCATTTGTGATCGTTTTGCAAAGCCACAGGCTAAAGCTAAACCTCGACAAGACGGAAGGTCTCCTCTTTGGGTCTTGGCAATCACGGACAGACCTACCAATTAATTTGAAATGGACGTCCGACTCTTTGATTATTCACGGCTGTCGCGTAGGAAATTCTGTTTTGCCAGATTGGGACACACTGCTCCAAAAATTCACCTCGAAAATCAAATCTTGGTCCTCACGATCTCTGTCTTTGCAGGGTAGCACCCTGCTTGCAAACACATTAGGCTTGAGTATCTTTTGGTACCAGGCTACGATTTTTGACATGCCCAAGACAGTTGTGCATGCAGTAAATAAACTTTTGTTCCCTTTTTTGTGGAATAAAAGAAAGAACCGATTGCGCAGCTCTGCCGTTGCTCCTCGTCTTCGGGGTGGGTTTGGGTGTCGTGCATGTCGGTACGAAACTTTTATCTTTACGTGCCATTTGGCTACGTCGCCTTCTGCTGACTCGATTTACTGTTCCTTGGCCGGTTTTGTTCTCCTACAATATTGGCCAAGTTTTTAACCAAGACCTGGACACCTTTTTCTCAAACAACCATCCCTGCCTATCTGCTCAAGAAACTGCCAAAGTTTTATCAATTCTTGGTACATGCGTGGGTGCAATTAAAGGGCCGACGAGTGGATACTGCTTGGTTTGTCGGGCATGATGTTGCCACTCCTATTCCGCTGGCGGAACTTACCGCTAAGCGCACGTATTATGTGCTCCTGGAAAATTCCTTGGCCCCTCATAAAGCCATCGAGAAATTTGCTACCATGCAGATCCAAGTCCCCTGGACATCTGTGTGGCGTTCGCTCCTGCTCTGGAGATTCATCCGCTCTGTGGCGGATACCAACTATTACATTTTTCAT